AGATTATTTTTTAAAAAAAACTGGTATCAAATATTGAAACCAGATTATTTTAAAAGATTTGTCCAACAAATATGGAAAATTTGGTTAGCCGTTTAACGATGCTAAGCTCGGAAAATTTGCTACTCGTATATTATCTCACGTAGTCAGTACATACCTTCCATATATTGCTACTGGTATATGTAAACTAAAAAAATCGTGATTCAAAAGGTGGCACGCACCTCGTTTTAAAATGTCTATAGTGTCTTTGTTTTTGAAAGCATAGTGCCTTTTAATTTGAAAATTAAAGATTACAATAATAATTAAAGTAAGATTTTTAAAATAATAATAGGCATCAACGGTCAACTTATTTTAGTATATAAATGTTCTTGATTTTGGATTGTAAGAATGTATGTACACACTATTGTCTATCTCATTTTCATCTAGCAAAGTCACAATGGACAAAAATAGTAGTGCTTTTTCAAAGAATTCCCTACACTTTTCCGGGAATGTCGACCATGCACCTTCTCAAAATTCTCTATTTGGGGCTCCATCATCATCATCACCCCAAACATCTCAAACTCTTCCGAATTTTATGTTTCCATTTCCACAATATTTTCCAAACTTTCAAGTTTCTGGTACCTTTTCAAACGGGTCTAACAATGTGACCACACCTCCAAATTACGTTCCGGGAGCAGAAAACAGGTCAAGATATGGAACTCATGGTATGTCTCATAATCACTTATCTCATCGGTCAACACCTATAGACGTCTCACCAAGTGAGTCATACAATATTGCTACATCTTGCACACAGAAAGACCCGAAAATGCCGTGTTCTATCAAAGTGAGCCCGTTTCCGTTACACTCCACAGAGACAAGGACAAATAATATAGACCTTGAAGGTGATATAGAAGTGTGCCATGAAACAGATCTTGATACATCAAAGAAGAAGCATTCATATGTGAAATGGGAAGTATCTGAAGAGATTGTTCTTGCAAAGGCATGGGAGATGATTAGTGAAGATCCCTGTATAGGGAATAATCAGTCTAGGGTTGCATTTTGGGATCGTGTCCGAATTTACTACAATGAAAATAGACCTTCTGGAACTGCAGAGAGAAGCACAACTCAAGTGAAAAATCACCATAATGTAATGTTGAAAGAGACAAATAAGTTTGGAGCTAAGTTCAATAATGAGTGGAATCAAAGAAAAAGTGGGGAAAGTGATGAAAATATATATGCTCGTGCTATTGCCAAATTTGCCGCAGATGAAAAAAGGACTTTTAGATATGATCATGTCTGGAGAGTTGTGAAAGACACTCCCCGATTCGCTCGACAAGAAGACGTTCAACGCACACAAAAAAAAGACAAAAAATAACGAATCTGGTGCATACACGTCATTTTGTCATGGAGATGCAAGCATTGATATTGACGCAAATGAAAGTAGAGCACGTCCAACAGGACAAAAGGCGGCCAAGCGGAGGGAGAAGACTAATGCGGAAGGCACCAATAGTACTACTTGCCCACAAAATAACTTGGGAGATATATGGGTAGGTATTCGTGAACATGAACAAGAGAAGCTTCGTCAACAAGCTGAAATAATTAGGCAAAAGGAAGATGAACTTAAACTTAAGCGACTTGAGTTCCTTTTTAAAGATGCAAATGGTATGAACGACCAACAAAAGAAAGATCATGAGAAACTTTGTGAACAAATTCTAATTATGTACGATTTGAACTAGTTATTTTATGCATATGTTATTGAATAAAAATTATATTTCACTTTTATTTAAGTCGCATGTCTTGTTAATAGTGATTCTATGTACTTCTATTCTATAAATGATTAACTTTAAAAAGATGAAGTCAAACTATGACGTTAGTAATTTTTATATACATTCTGCGGTTAGTATTTAATATTAGTTTATTCATATATAATACATAACTATTTGTACATATATAAATAATAAAGATATTATTGTTTAGAATTATATCATAAACTAGCCGTCAGGAATATTATTAGTTATTACTATTTGAAATTATATTATTTATAAATTATACTCCGTACTTAATAATGAAATATTTTCAAACATTAAAAAGAATATAAAACATATATTATGACATAAATATATATTAAAAACGGAAATTGTCCTAAATAGGACTAATGAGTTCCTTAAAAGCACAAATAGGACTACTACTTTTTAAATTCCCTAAATAGGACTAAACATTGATTTTCTACCCTAAATACCCCTAAGAGTATTAATTCCTAATGAAATGCTTTAATTCATAATAAAATCATAAAAAAACGTAAAAAAAATTTAAAAAAACGTAAAAAAATTATAAAAATTTATAAAAAATTTATAAAATAAAAAAATTAATTTTTTATTTTTTTAATTTTTTTTAAAAAATAATAAAAAATAGTAAAAACCCATAAAAAAATGAAAAAAATTATGGATACCTTTCCCACCGCCTCCTGCCGCCTACCACCACCACCACCTCCGATTGGTGAAATTTCTTCCACTTTTGGTAAAAAAATGCCATCTTTTTCTGAAAATGCCAAAAAGATGGCATAATTACTCTTCAATATGCCAACATTTTCATTGAATATGCCATCATTATGGCATAATTTAAAATGTTGACATATTTTTCTCCGGTGATGGGAGCTAGTGGTGCTGGGGGTGGCAGGGGTGGTAATGTTTTTTTTTTTTTAATTTTACGATTTTTTTTATTTTTTTTAATTTTTAAAAAAAAGTTTTTTTTATTTTTTTAAAAAATATTTTTATTAATTTTCTATTATTTTTTTTATGATTTTTAGTATTTTTTTCGATTTTTATTATTATTTTTATGATTTTATTATTAATTAAAACATTTCACAAGTTACAAGGGTATATTTGTCCAAACACACATAAATAGTCCTATTTAGGGAATTTAAAAAATGTAGTCCTATTTGTGCAATTTTGCCACTTTTTAGTCCTATTTAGGGAATTCACTCTATTAAAAATTACTACGTAGCAATTAGGAACTAGTTGCTAATATTAGTTGTCTGGTACATTTTTAATCTTGTCGATCATGTCATTCTATATGATCTACGTAGCATATTATTTTAAATTATATCATGCTCCGTATATAAATACTATTTTATATATACTTGTATAGAAAAAGAAATATTATACTTTACAAGAATATCACATACTAGTTGTTAAAAACTAGCCGTTAGAAACTAATGTGTTAGAAATTAGCCGTTAGAAACTAATGTGTATATATATACACACAACACAAGAAAAGACAACTGCTCATTCTTTCATCAACGTATCATATATATCTGTCAACAACACTACTTATATTCATTATAAAAAAAATGTCTACAGATTCAAATTCTGTTGAACTACGCATGGCACGAAAGTACTGGATTAACCGGTTACGAGAAAGTGCCAATGATTCGTTGACTATATTGAAACTGAATGTTCTTGAGGAGGTGGAGAGGCAAATTGAAAGTGGTGAAAGCTCAAAAGCTAGACGAAAAAAGAGAGCTTACATCGACCGTGATCGTCAAAGCGGCCAATTGCGTCTTTATAATGATTACTTTTCAGAACAACCCGTTTTTTCTCCAAACTATTTTCGTCGACGCTTTCGAATGCGTAGGCCGTTATTTCTCAAAATAGTCCATGCAATTGAAAATTATTCCATTTATTTTCAGCAAAGGGAAGATGCATGCCGAAAGAAAGGGTTGTCACCACTACAGAAATGCACTGCTGCCCTCCGTCAACTGGCATACGGAACTCCCGCAGATAGTTGGGATGAGTACATAAGAATGGCTGAAACAACTACTATAGAAAGTTTGAAGAATTTCTGTCAATGTGTGATCAAACTTTTCGGTAATCAATACTTGAGAAGGCCCAATGCAGATGACATAAGACATTTACTTGAAATTCATGAACGGGGGCATGGCTTTCCTGGCATGCTAGGTAGTCTTGATTGTATGCATTCGGAATGGCGGAACTGCCCCGTCGCTTGGAAGGGTCAATTTACTCGAGGTGACCACGGGGTTCCAACAATTATGCTTGAAGCTGTTGCGTCTACAGATTTATGGATATGGCATGCGTTTTTTGGAGTAGCAGGGTCACGCAATGATGTCAATGTACTCAATGAGTCTCCACTATTTAATAATATTCTGCAAGGTGTTGCTCCCAAAGTTAACTTTACGGTAAACGGCACACCATATACGAAAGGATATTATTTAACCGATGGGATATACCCGGAATGGTCTACCTTCGTTAAAAGTTTTTCATGCCCCCAAGATCTTAAAAGAAAAAAAATTAAAGAAATGCAAGAAGCTGCAAGAAAGGACGTGGAGCGAGCATTTGGAGTACTACAGGCTCGTTGGGCAATTATAAAATATCCTGGACGTTATTGGCATAGAGTAAATTTGCGTGATATTATGTACACATGCATAATTTTGCACAACATGATTATTGAAGATGAAGGAGATAATGCGACAAATTGGTGTGACGATCAGAATGGTGCACTTGATGATGAAGATGATGCAGATAGACTAATTATAAATCACGGTGCCCCCCCCCCCCCCCCCCCCCCCCCGCATTTCAAGAGTACATTCGTCTCAATTCCGAAATTAGGGATTCTCAATTACATCACCAACTTCGACATGATTTGGTTGAGCACATTTGGGCACATTATGGCCACAATAATTAAATTATTGATTTATTAGCATTATTTGCTAGTCTTATTTAAGCATTGTTGTTTAAATGTCATTTTTAAAGATGATTAAATTTGAATGATTGATTATGTTAAATACAATTTCATACAATAAAACTTTTATATATAAAAATATAAACACATATAATTAAAATATAATTACATGTTATAAATACTTAATAAAAACGCATATATTAATATATGTGATTAAACTTGAACAAAAGAAAAACAGAACAAATCAAATAAAGTTTGGAATAAGGAAAATACAAAAAAGAGAGTAAGTATACGTTGGTCACTAATCCCCTATTCTTCTAAAGCGTGGAAGAGAGTTAGTCGTCGTGCTTATTCCGTTACTACAGCCCTCACGCCTTCTTCACGGTTTATTTGGCAGGCTGACTGTCAACAGGATGAAAATATCACCCGTTTGATTACCCGCCGTGGAGATTCCGCTGACACACTTACTATCGGCACCACACGCAGCTGCATTTCTACACGCAGCTGCTCTTCCTACTGCTAGATCGATGTTGCTTTTCCCATCCGTCTGCTCATTTAGCTCTCTCGGACATTGTTTTTCCACCTTTCTACCGCTGCGCCTGTGCGACAAATCTATGCCGCCGGCGGAGGCACATGGACCTCTAGCCGCCCCAGTGAGGCTCTCGTTTGCAGAGGCGGTAAGGGACTCCTACCATGGCCATCGATTGCACTCCCAAAAGTGCTCTTTCTTGGATTTTGACTCCGTGGGGTTCCCGGTCATATCCTACACCTTCAATGGAGATTCAACGACCTCTTTCTCCGGCGATGATATCCAGGTTTACTCCTCCACTTATATGCTTGTTAATATGCCTGCTAATGTTGCCCGGACTATTTCTGGTCTTGATGAGGTTACCCCCAATTCTGATGATAAGAGTCTGAATTCTAATGTTGTTTTAGCCATTGATGAACCAATGCTTATCCCCTGTGCTGATACTTCTGGTACTTCTGCCCCGACTGATTCTTTCAAAAAAGATGAAACTGGCCCTTCCAGTTATGATTTCTCTGCCCAGATTGTTATTATACCTGCTATTGTTGCCCTATTTATTTCTGTTCTTGCTGAGGTAGAGTGTACTTCTGGTAGCATTGCCAGAAATGTTTGCACTGCCCCTGGAGCAGAAATCATCACCTCTTTTGACTTTGAAAGCCCCATTCTTAATGTTCCAACTGATTATGTTTCTATAGAAACAGTGCCTGCAGATTGTGTTTCTGATAAAACTGTTAGAAATGGACTTATTGATTGTGTTTCCACCGAAGTTGATACCTTGAAAAATGATGCAGTTGTAGCCTATGATGAAGCCTCAGTGAATGCCTTTGCAAATGCATTATCTGTAGGTGTTGGTCCTGAAGTTGATACAATTGAGTTGATATTTGGAAATGAAGAACCTCGTTCTGATCCATCTATTGAAACTGACAGGCTTATACTACACTTGATCATCCCCTGTCCTATGATGATAATACTCAATCTGAGGACCCCCGGTTATCACTGAAAACCAATTTCCTGTTGTTATTTTTCCCCGGATTATCTGATTAATCTACTACTATTTCTTTTTACTGCTACTTTAGCCATATGAGTTTCAAAATACCGAGTCTATTGTATATACGGTGTACGCTGTTCTCAGCCTGTGCTCACGTGTATGATATATTGATATCCCCAAAGTGTTCTTTATATACGGAGTATATCTAAAATAATCGTATTGATTTTTGACCCAAATCCCCACATTCATATCTCCAGGAGTAATTTTAAGGATGACAGATTGTCTAGAATTGGATGTCGAATCATTACAGAAGGAAGTGGATGCCCATGTATTGTTTCCGCCAGAATCAGATTTTTCCAAGGTGTGTTCTTGTGACGAATGTTCTGCGAAACTGAAGGTCTTTAAGGAATTTGAGACAGATATATGGGATAAGCAGAATCGTGTCTGGGTAGGTAGAAATATCACATATTTAGTATATATAGGCATACAGATAAATTCATTTATATGTTGTTTTTGCAAGCATTTATATGTTTTTACTCAATTGCTTGTAAACAGGAACTTATAGACCAACAGCGTCCAGATCTTCTGAACTGTATAGCCCTTGGTGCTGCCTCTTATTGGACTAGAAGCCTGTTGGATCGTCTTCATCGTGAGCTTGAACTACTATACGAGGTAGACTGATTTCGATTCCTTACTCTGTAAATCTTGGTTGTAGCAAATTGTATAACATGTTTGATGTTTTTTTTTTTTACTACAGAAGTCAGGAGCCTCATGGACGCTCAAAAGAAGTAAATCTGAACAGGAGCTGATAGATGTATCTTTTCAAATCAGTAATATGCTAATAGATAATAAGCTGTTGAAAAGAATTGACCCTGTGGAGATAAGTGAGGATGAGTATTCCTATGATCAACCTCTTGCTTGGGAAATAAAGAGTGGGGTAAGATATTAGATTTTAGAGATTTAGTTATTTGAGAATGAGCCATAGTTACCGGACAATATTTACATTTTTCTGTTGTGTATAGATTTCTAATACATGTTTTTTTTTCATTTCTTAGTGTTTTCAATGATCAGCCTTGACATCAGAACCATGCACTGAAATCAGATTGAATGGATGTTTCTTTCAACAATTCTAGCCTTTTATTGTGTTTGTTTATTTGCCCTATAAGTTAATGTGTTTTTTTTGTGGATTTTCTTTTGACAGTATGTCTGGTATGGGGATACCAGATTTAAGGATGCTGCTTTCAAAATTATTAAGAAGATTGAAGAGATCGAAAACCACCATGAGCATGACAAGAAATCTGCTCAAGAAGAAGGAAGATCTCTGGATCCTTCAATATCTAAGAAGCACATAGATGACCAAATAATGGTAAAAAAGAGCCAATCCCTTATTTGCTAATGTTGTTTCTCCATTTGGGCTAATGATCATGTCTCGATTATCATAGTTTTTAAAGAAGCTGCCTGTTAGTCAACTGCACCATGATTGTCAAAAGTTTGTTCCAACAGTTGCTCGGGCTTTAAAAGCAGACAATGATATCAATTCCATTTATCATACTATGATTATAATTAGGAGGGTGTTTTGGAAGAAATATCAAATGGAAATTCTAGATTTCAATTAGTCATTTGTCTTAGATAACTTAATATCGAGTAGTGTGAGTAAGGCAGATTTAACATACTAAGTGAGAAGAAAGCAAGTAAAGTAGGCTATAAGAAAGTATCAGATACTAATTAGTCTATTTTTGGGAGAAATAGACTTCTTGGCTCTCTCAAAAACATTAGAAACAAAGCTGGAAATCTGATTTAAGCAAGTAAAATATGCAAATAGGCAAAAACCAATAGTTATGGAAGAAGAAAATATGATCGTGTAAAGAAGACACAATTAGGAAGTATGATCTAAAATTATAGGCATAAAAAAACTGCATTGATAACATATTAACATGTCATTTCTATTACACCTTTTCTTCTAATTTTTTAATACTTTAAAAATAAACCATTTATAAATATACCATTTATCAAACAGAGCAGACCATTGTATTGCTATAATCTTCCCGAAAGATGGCATGGTGGTGGGATGAGTTCTTCTTCCCAATTTCAGGTTTATTCGTATTTTTAAACTTTATTTTATTCAATGGTATTGGTACTTAATATCTTAGAAGCTTAGAATAAGAGTAAATTGAGCTTTATCAACATGTTTACAGATGTATTATGAGCAAGTGGGTATACCACAAGCATTTCTTCCCGATCCCCCAACACAGTGATATTGTTTTAATGACGTGCCATGGGGATGCAAATGGAAGGTGAATTTTGGTAAGCTCCAGTTTCCAAAGCTCACATGAAAACAACATTGGTATAACCACAGTTTGGTTAACAGTGAAACCTTTGGGTGCCCCTGCTTGTGATGTTCCTACTGAGTTTGATGCCCCTTGTGTGAAAGAGTTTGATGCCCCTTGTGTGAAACCAAATGATGCCCAGGTTAATGTATCTGTTGATAAACTTGTTACTATCCCATTTACTATCCAAGTAATTAATGCTTCTGTAAGTGCCAGACCTGAAGTTGATATGCTTGTGAATCTGTGAAGAAGCAATGATATTTTTGCATCAGACGGTGAAGGCAATGAATCGAGAATACAGTCAGTGGAAGGTATTAGTTTTCAAACTTTAATTCCATGGTATACATGGATGATGGAAACTACGTGTCATGTAAAATTTATCTTTCCTTATAATTAACCATCACCTTCTTTACTCTTAAACTTAAATCTCCTTCTAAATAACTATCGTGTTCCTTGCTCTTCAACTTATCTTTCCTTTCTAATGTTTTTTCTCTTTCTTTTTACTCTATTTTTTGCAGGTGCATTCCTTATAGTTTAGAAATCCGGGAAAAATGGCCATTACATCCGTGAGGAAGTTGTTCAGGTAGTTTAGAATGAAGGATATATGATTCAGAATACTTGCATCCCTTGTTTTTAGATATCTGCTGCATGTTTTATAATTCTAACTTCTCTTTTTCTTTAATATGCCACCACCAAAAAAAGTAGGATCAAATTCCACTTTGATCCCCCAACTTAATCACCATGATTCCTTTGCGACGGATGCCATGATATTTTAATTAGCTCTGGGATCTTTCTTCACGTTAGTATTTAAGGCATATGTTCAATATGCCTCCAAATGTAAAATTAAAAGGTGAAATATTTCAATGGAGTAAATCAAAAGTGACCTCCAGATGTATGTCCACAATTACCCTTTGTAATATGCCCAAATAGGACCTAAGTTACTTAGTATAACCAAATAATAAGCTTACAAAGTTTCAATTTCTGATAATGTAACCCTTCACATGATAACCCCAGGAGATTTCTACTATTCAAACAAATATCATGGAAGCGGTTGAATCCAAGAGGTTGATATTTTACGCTTTTAGTATTTGGTTTTCAGCTTTGAAATGGAGGCATTTCCATAGACCTGGGGTGATGTTGATCATGTAGATAACATGTTAGGTTCTTCTTATTACATAAGCCCTTGAATTAGGGGTTGCTGATGAACTTGATTCAGTATAGATGTATCAAAAGAAGGAAATGGGATGAACTATCCCAAGAAGTTCTGATTTTATGCGCTAGCCTTTGAATAGACAATTAAGATTTGTTGTTTCCTAAAAGGTTATCCATATCTTACTGCACATATAAAAGGCCAATGAAGGTTTGTTGGCCTATTGTCGTTACTACAGTCCCTAACTTTCTGCCTCGGTTTATTGCCTTTCGTTAGACGATGAGTTGGCATCTTTCGCGCCTCAGTATACACCCGTGACCCGACCTACTTTTTAGTTTCATTATTCTCAATTTCAATATACTTTTCTGCTAAATTTCAAGATAAAGAATTTTCATGGTGAGGTAGGAACGATTTACTCAGAAATCATGACTTGGTTAAATCTGGATTTCGGTTAGAAATTACTGATAAACGAATAATGTATTTACTTGAGGCCCTGACATTATTATTGATGACTTGAACAGTCCATCGATTCTTCAAATTGATGGTTATTTATGTATTGAAGTATCACATGATTAAAATACAATATCTATTTCATTTCAATCGGTTATTGCTCTCCGTTTTATGGAATCACATTCATTTTACTGGCAGACTCTAGGCTCACCTGTTTGCGACTCCAGTAAGAAGAAGACAGATAAGAGTTATTCGGGTACAGCCAGCAGTTTTTTCAACTATTTTCCTTGACAAGGGTGGACAACAAGAAGACTACTTGGTTAATTGATACTTTTGTAATACATTTGCGCAGTTTTTTTATAAAGTACAGTTTTCTCTCTTTACCGAACATTCGGCCTGACCGTCGCGCAACGCGCGTCCCACGCTAGTCAATATATACACATATGACTGATCATACGTACATGTGTGTTTAATTTCTAGGAGAGAGAATCTTTTAATGCATTTTATACAAAAATCACAATAATCTAAGATCATGATTGAGAGCAAGCTAAGAATATTTGATATCATTAATGATTTTATATGTGGCAATGATGTGGCACAAAAAAACTGCTTATTTGAGTATCACCAATGGAGTTGCTCTAATTAGCGAAAATCTCATTATAGTGAGCCAACCACTAACTAAGCCTACAAATATTAAAACATTTTTATATTTAATTATTTTTCTTATTTTATGTTTAAATATTTCTATGTATATATTGTGTGTGTATATGTAAAAAATTATAACTGTAATTATATCATCACGGGTCGGGTCCAAAACGGGCCGGAACCTAAAAAACCATATCCGACCCATTTTCTCTATCATGTAACGGGTTCAGATCCGGATCCGAGAAACGGTTCTAAATTTAGATCCATACCTTCAAATAAAGTGCCGGATTCGGATCGGGTCCGGGTCTAGACCCGACCCATTGTAGGCCTAAACGCGGGTTACATTACTCTACTACTAAAACAAAAATAAAAAAAAATTATTGTTCATGTGTGCAGGGGTGGAGCCAGGGGGGTCAGGGTGGTCAGCTGACCCCGCTAAAAGTGTGAGAATGTAGAGCTCTGAATAACTTTCAATTTGATATATTATAGGTCCCGTAACTTATTTTGAGTAAAAAGTTATGGCTTCTGGAAAAATCGGCATCATCCAAACTTGAAATGATCAAAATTTGATGTGTGATATGGATTATATTCTTAAATTTTAAAACAAAACACCTTATTCACTCAATAAATGTGTGAAGTTTTTTCAATACATGACATATATATCTACACAATAACTGAATATGTCTCATTAAACTAGCATTTATCTCAACTACATATGAAATGTTTAACTCATGTGTTGTTTAATAACGATTATCCATTTTGATACCGTATATAATTGAATTTCGACCCCGCTCACATGTTTTTCTAGCTCCGCCACTGCATGTGTGTAACTATTCACGCATATTTTAGTTGTGGGAGTACAATGATCACCTTGAGCCCGCTGCTCCCACTATGACATAATGACAACTGATCAACTAACGGAGTACAGCAGATTATTAGCTCTTCACCGAAAACTACTGAAATTGTCGTCAATAGGATATATGCATACAGTATGGCCATTTAAAAAACCCTTTTTCAAGGAAAATTTGATGATCCCATCCATCACTGATGTATCAACGCAGATACTACATAGGACATAATTTCATATGCTGCTGTTGGTTCTTATTCCAAAAACTCTGTTATGCCACACCGAGTGAAGTATCATGTGGAAAGCGTCATACTTGACGGGTTTAGGGTGCCATAGGAAATGTTGTTGGACAATCTTAACCCTTCGTTGCATCTCTCGGAATCTCCTGTCCGGGATTGATGCAAGTATGTTCTTGAGCTCTGGAATATTCTTCTCTGGGACAAAAACTGCAAAAGATTCCCAGTTCAATGTCTCAAACAAAGGGGGCACAAAGTTGTCTGATATGATCACAGGAACACACTCGTAGAAGATGGCCTCCACCACGCGGGGGCTGTTCACTTCGTACCTGATAAACACGTATAACAAACCGAAGTGTGAAGAAGATGTTTAACAAAGAGAGAACAAATGCTTATGGGGAGAAATTTTTATTTCATTCCCAATCATTCCTTAATACAAACATCCATTTCTACAGAATTACAAAAGTATAAAACAAATGAGGAAAATTGCATTCCTTTAAATAGAACAATCATTAACTTTTTCTTGCTCTTTTTCCTACTTTTTCCCCTTTAGGATTCAATGAGCCATAATTGTGCACGTGCTCCATGTTTTACTCCTATTTACTATAATCTCTTAAAACATAACTACTTAACTAGTCAATAGTACGTTTCTTAAAAAAATTAGTCAATAACTAGAAAGCCCAATGGACAAGCATTCTGCATAACAATGGTCTCGGGAAGAGTCCCATGGTAATTACCTCTCTTCACTAACCACCCACTAATAATAACTTCATGGTAATTAATCATCTAATACTAATAAAAAATGAATTAATACAATATTAAGACGAACCCATCCAGAGAAAAGAGTTTAACCTGATGAATGTACAACAGTACAACTTTTTGTACAGATGTGAAAATCGTTATTTTTAAGGATATTTTTTGAATTATTTTGTGCAAAGGACTTTTTTCTTTTCGAATGGCGAGAGTAATAATAATATAAAGTAACCAACCAACTTACATCAAACAAAACTACCCATTAATATAACTACATAACAATAGAAGTAGTAGTAGTACAAGTACTAGTAGTAAGAATAGTAATGATAACTCAGAGGTTCATTCGTACCCCTTTGCACAAATGCAGTACTTGCTACTCTTCATGTAGTTGACATATGCTTCCATATCTATGGGACCAAAGATTTTCATGGTGGAATCGTTTCCCCCCCAGTGTTGTAATAGAACAGGGCGGAGGTAACCATGCATGTTCCCGGCAAAGAAAGCGAGGTTTTGGCGTTGCGAAAGAGAATTCCCACCAATTTCTCTAAGGGGTTTCTTTGATGATTTCACGTATGTTTCTGGCAGAGATGCATCTTTACCAAATTGGAATCCTTGTTTAGCATCTGCATTGCACAAAGCTCTTATGCAATTTGTCATAAGTCGCCTTGTCTCTGTAGGGGCCTGTTAGAAATGCCATATCATCAGTTATGGTACCACAACTTGATGTCCTAGTCACTTCTGATCCTCATCTTCAAATAACTAACACTTTTAGTCCTCCCTAGCACCTTTTCGATGAAAATGTGACCTGAACTCTAGATACTATGCCTCTTTAATGTGATCAGAATCACCAAGGTTGATAAAAATTAAACTGGTGCACCAAAATTGATGAGTTTTTTAAATCAATAACCAAAAATGATAAGAACACTCAAGGCGTGGGATGAAAATGGTATTTAAGCTGCACAATTTGTATGAGCCTTGTTGAAATGATAGATTTAATAAAAAGATCATTCCAACATCTGATAAGAAGCAGAATCTAGGCTTGGAAGAAGAGGGGCAGAAGCCCCCGTGGGTTTACCGAAGGCGGGACGGGCTTGATCCCACCTTCGTGGGCTGGTTGCGGGCTGTTTAATTAATATTTATTATTCCTTTTATTTTGTTTCCTAATTTAATTTGTTTCCTAGTAGGATTTATTTAGGACTTCTATTCTCATTAAAATTAGAGGTTTCCTATTTCTATTTAGTTTCCTAGAATGATTTAATTAGGAGTCCCATTAGAACTAGAGGTTTCCTAGATTAATTTAATTAGGATTCCTAGTCTTATTAGACCTAGAGGGTTATTTTATACCCCTTGTATGCTTCATTCTTGATAATCTTGGAATAAAAGTTGGTTTAGCCTTTTGGCTTTGGGCAACGGTATTTATTTATCGTTGATTATCTGGGCAACGGTTCACCCCGTTGATTTTATTTTTCTGTTCATATCAATTGGTCCGACCTGCCGGATCCCGTCCCGCCGGAATGACGAGATCTATCAGTGAACATTTGTCAGAGATGGTGACCAAGCAAATTTGGATGAATCAAACCCTAGAGGAGCACGGCGTGCGTCTGGCAGAGATTGCCGCATCCCTGGCAGCGCTTACCAAGGCGTTCATTCCGCCAGTCACGACAGAAACAAGCCCTGACGCGGTTGGCAGCCCCACCGTATTTGCGCCCAGCAATGACGGACAGCCGCATAACGTCACTTCCTCCTTGACTGCGCTCACAAAGGCTCTCACGCCGCCAGCGGCGGAGGAGAATTCATCACCGATGGCTTCACTTGACGCGGCAGCAACATCCACGTTCGAAACTGGATTGTGCAACACTTCTCTCATGACGCTGCCCTCGTTTGACGGAGAAGACCCGATCGGTTGGGTTGCTAGGGCTGAGCATCAAATCGAACTGAGTTGTACTCCGCCGGGAAAGAAGGTGGCAGCCACTCTAGTTGTGATGGAAGGGTCAGCCCTGTACCGGTTGACCTCGTTACGGGCACGAAAGCCGGGCATGTCATGGGATGAGCTTACACAAGCATTGGTGGCTCGTTTTGACTCACGGTTTAAGGGCAATTGCTTTGAACGGCTGTCCGGAGGCAAGCAGACAGGGACTGTGGAAGAGTACATCTCAATTTTTCCTAAAGATACTGGGCAGCCACCGGGAACAAATGTTAGCCGGTTTCCGGATTTCAACCTTGAGGACAAGGTTTTTTCGAAGGGGGGTGGAATTGATATGAAGCAGAATGTGGGCTTGGAAGAAGAGGGGCAGAAGCCCCCGTGGGTTTACCGAAGGCGGGACGGGCTTGATCCCACCTTCGTGGGCTGGTTGCGGGCTGTTTAATTAATATTTATTATTCCTTTTATTTTGTTTCCTAATTTAATTTGTTTCCTAGTAGGATTTATTTAGGACTTCTATTCTTATTAAAATTAGAGGTTTCCTATTTTTATTTAGTTTCCTAGAATGATTTAATTAGGAGTTCTATTAGAACTAGAGGTTTCCTATTCTATTTATTTTCCTAGATTAATTTAATTAGGATTCCTAGTCTTATTAGACCTAGAGGGTTATTTATACCCCTTGTATGCTTCATTCTTGATAATCTTGGAATAAAAGTTGGTTTAGCCTTTTGGCTTTGGGCAACGGTATTTATTTATCGTTGATTATCTGGGCAACGGTTCACCCCGTTGATTTTATTTTTCTGTTCATATCAACATCTCATGGGCCTTGAAAAGAGCAAAGAGAAATCGAAGAATCAAATATAAGAATTGCCAGCATAAGTAATGCAACACAAATCATCATCATCATTACCCCAGTGCCGCAAAGGCTCTCACCTACGGTGGGGTAAGGGGGTCGGATGTACGCAGTCTTACCGCTGTACTAAAGCTCAGAGAGACCGTTTCCGGATGACTCATAGTGAAAATCACGTCGAAAATTGCATGGGCTGACTGTTGCTTCATAATAAAGAAGCGCAGACAGCTTAATGATTCTTTGCCTCCATTGCAAATGATGGAAACCATGCAACACAAATATTTAGAGAAAATC